AAGGGGATTTTTGCTTTAAAAATCCCATAGCTTCTGAATCTCTGGCCTACATCATCATCTGATATCTGAGTAGTGGCCCACTTATCACTACCCACCGCGTTCGATGCAATGGACAGCGCCGTCCTGACTTTCCTGCGCGACGACCGACGCAGTATGAAATTATTTTTACTTTGTGTATGCATTGGGGTTTGCCCGACGGGTACTGCCTGGGGTGTCCAGCCACTAGGCAGGATAACGATTAGGGTTCTCTTCCAAAGCCTTTAGTTTTGACAAGAACCTAACCGCAAGGCAGCCGGTGAAGCGAAGTGGAGGTCCATTTACTTGGATCGATTACTCCCCCACTGGTTTTTATCGACTGAAATGTCAAATTCCAGGCGAATCCCCAACCTGGAGGACCAGGAGGCTGAACTTCGTTCGACCTCTACCCTTTGACCTTTCAGGCAGGATTAGATCTGAGGCTTGACAAAAGCCATCCTGTGTAGCTCGTTGGGTCATAGAGGTGCACAAACCATTACACCACGTCAAGGTGTAGTCTCGTCGTGATGGTATATAAAGCTTAGACCGATTTGATTTGAATATATATATATATATATATATATATATATACAATATACAGTTATCAATGGAAACATGCATACAATATTTGAAACATACCCCAAGCAGTGCATCCTCGACAATTCGATCACGTGAAATGTGTAGCTTGAGGAACGGCAGCTCAGGAATGCCTACTAAGAACGATTGGAGAACCACGTCACGTCGTTCGTCCAACATGCGCATTCGATTATCGTAGTATAAAAGTGTGGATTTGGAGGATGTTTCCAAAAGGAACGGGAGCTTCATGAAACTCAATTCACCGAACGGATCTTTGGAGCGATAGTTCACATAATCTTGCTTGGGCTGTCAGAAGCAGAGTTGGAGTAGAGAACAAAATAATCGATGATCGTCAAGTGATTCAAAACAAATCCTGCTCATAAAATTAAACCATAATGCAAAAGGGAGTAATGTAAATGATGCCAAACAATGAAATAGATTGTATTTTCAAAATCAATGCTAAGCAAATAGACGACATAGACGAGTCAAAAGTAAAACATTGTGGCCCAACAAGACCCTGGAATACATATGATGCATTTCCAAAACGCAGGTATTTTGAGATTCTCTATGTCCCTGGTGAAATAAAGATGGGAAAGGGATTTTGTCATTTATTATATCTGTGCCAGAAATTTATACTACAACAATGGTTATAACAACGCGACGGGTGGGAGGTTAATTCCGAAACGGGCCGGTAGACATGCACTATTCATGAGCACTAATCAGGGCGGAACTATGTTCCCATATGACTGACAAAGGAAATGAGGGTTTGTATGTGAAGGTGATGTCTGGATCATGACCAATCCAATGAATGCCTTTCATCTCATACCACCATTAATGAGCAACTGTGAATTGGGATGTCAAATAAAACTAGCTAAACGTACCGATCTGGATATATTAACACTACCCGCGTGGACGATCTGATTCGATGGGAGGCTTTTGTAAGCAATCATCTCTTATGCATTGTGGTTGACGGTGGGTGTTTTGGATTATTTTTAGTCACCTTTCCCTTGTACCTTGCAAAATATACAGGTCTAATCGAAACTGAAGCAACGGGTCCCTGTGGAACACTTGTCGGTTCGTATAGGCAACAGCATTTTTACTGGAGTAAATTGTTTCTCCAGATAATAATAAAAAAGCCTTGGTGAGTCTTTACAGCAGTGATTTTCGTGATTCGTTTATACTCAGCAGATGGAATGATTCAGAAGGCAGCGAATACTCCCATTTCGTCAGTAGTGGTTGGCTTGGACCATGATGAGTTATCAGTTAATTAAAGAGAATAAAACAATTTTTATTTAAAACAAATTAACATTGATAATAATTAAGATGTAAAGTTTGTGTACACTAATTGTCGATTGGCCTCCCTCTGTTCTTCAGGACATTTTCGAGTCTCTTCGGCATCGAATCCACCAACTTCTTTTGTTGTGCTTCATTACGTGTCGCACTTTTGCCTGCAATGTCCAATTNTCCAATTTACAGGTAGCACATAGACCTCTCTCTTCAAAACACAAAATAGATTTGCAATCATCATGAGATCCGGGTTATTAGGAGGAAGTTGCATGAACTGGAACTTCGAGTCACGCATCTTTTCTGAAGTCTAAAAGCAAGTAATAAGTGAATCAGTCTCCTTAACTAAATAAATTTATTAACTTCTCGTGAGACATGATACGGAGCGTTGTCCTGAAAAACCATAACTTTTCCAGACGATCTTTTTGAAATTCTTGAAACATTTTCTTCATTACTGATAAGAATTTCCCACTAGTCATGGTACCTCCCACCGATGTCCACCGACAAGGCTGACCATGTTTTATCCCTGCCAAGATGAGTAATCTCAACGGGTTTCTGGAGATAATTTAGGATAATTCTTGAGTCACTCCTATTAGAATATATTGCGTTTTCACACTTGATAAGGTTTGCGATTTTCATGTTGACATTATCAAATCTTGGTAACCAAGGGCAGGCACATTTAATTGACAATCATGCAACCTAGAAACTACGTGGATTAAAGTAGACAAGAGATAATTTATTGACCATATCGAAAGCATTAATATAGGTGATAAATATAATGAAACTCAGTTTGAGCAGAAAGAAAATATTAAAGTGCATCACAATCGACCAGCACTGAATATATATGAGAAAATAGTTTAGAAACAAATTTACCCACAGTTGCGAATTGGATTACTATGACGGAAATACACTGCCTGGGTACAAGTGTGTGATTACAGTGGCAAAAACGTTAAACCGATCATCATTATTATACTACTCATTGCGATATATATATATATATATATATATATATATATATAATATTCTGGTTGTGGTAACGACCATCGACTCGATTGGACTTTCGTGTTATATTGAGAACGTTGTACGTTGCAAACTGTCCAAAGGGCGCATGGTCCGATTAACTAGATACCGGTCCTAAACGAATTTTGACTTTTCAACAGCCCGTCTGTCTTGTGGCTAATGCTTTGACAAGCTAAAAGTTTGGGTTTGTACAATCTGGCAATATTCCACCCACAAGCAAATCCTGGACGACAAACTTTGTGTTAACACATATTAAACAGTGATCGCTTTGAAACGGTTTAAATTCAGACACGTGTGAAATATATTATACTAATCTCCTGTTGGTCCAGGTTGACCATAACGTGATCTGCAATGGGGGTATGAAAATCTCGACGAAGTTACATAAATCGGTTACAAACTGAGGACCTTGTGACCGATTTAATTAATGGTTAAAGACAATGCATGGGATAGCTGTGCCGTGAGCAGTGGCAGTCAGGTATCTCATCACGTTCCGTACTCTTATTCTGATAGTTCGCATTGGTACAAACTATTAAATGTACTCTTATTTATCGATAAAATGGCTAGTCGAACGACATCGAATAAAACTGTCATACGACGATGCAAGCATAATGGTTGGGGAAAATGGACCTCATGTTAACGAATATAAGTTAAGACATGAGTTGCAGAGATCAGTGGTAATGGGATGCTAAGCGGTCACCCCAGGAGAGTCCCCGGGCTGCTTTAACACTCACAGCTGATCAACACATTTAAA